TTTCAGGAACAGTGTCCCTGAATCCTGAAACACTGAAATGCCTAAACTTTCAGGTTTAGTAAATGAACTAACTATATAGTGGTTTCCTTACCAGCGACTAGATTCAAACCACACTCTAGAATGCGCTCTGGTGGACAGCCACTGTATTTAGTTAGCACCACATCACCTTATGCCACTGTACCGTGGTCAACACTCCAATGTCACTTTAGTTCCAACTTGTGCCATCCAATACCCATCATTTATCATTCTTTGCCCTTTTATCTACTATACCATATCCACGAAGACCACAATTGAGAGAAATTGAAAATCTATTAAATAAAAACAGTATTGCAAACTTCACTATATTAAAGAAAACATTCTCATGCATAAAATTGATTACTGCATTTAAATTCCTTCACCACTATTTAATTTTATAAAAACACAAGTTTCATTCACATTCAAGGAGCATTGGAATCTATAGTCCAATGTCAAAGAGTCCAAAACCTCTTGTAGCTCATAGCCAATAGTAAAGTGGCACCATGGCAGCTTCCACTACAACCACAGAAGGTGTAACACCTGCACTTTTACTTCTTCTCTCCTCAGTACCCAAGGACCCAAACATATCTTCAAGCTGTGCTTTACCTGCACTTTACTCAATCTCATCTACTGCATTTGCTGCTCACAATATGATTTCCTCTATGTTGGAGAAAGGAAGTGTAGACTGGATGACCACTTTGCAGAATACCTATGTTCTGTCCGCAAAAAAAAGACCCTGAGCTTCCATTTGCTTGCCACTTCAACACACTACTAAGTTCCCTGCCTAACATCTCGGTGAAGCCCAGTGCAAGCTGGTAGAACAGCACCTCATTTTCTGCTGAGTGACCCTGCAGCCTTCTGCACTCAATGTCGAGTTCAACAATTTTAGGGCTTGAGCACTTTCTTCACTCTTTCCCCAACTCCCACACACCAGGCCTTATCACATGGTCTGGTATTAAACATAACCCATTGTTAACCGCTAATAGTCCCCATTCGTAGGTTTATCCTAGGTTGACTGTTGTCTACTCCTTTGTCTGTCCAACTATTTTTGTATCTCTTTGGGGTCTAGCTCCTTCAATTGTTTAATCCTTACTGCCTCCACCCATTCTATCTTCTGCATAAAAACCAACATTTTCCTAGCTACCATCAGTTCTGAAGAAGGGTCACTGGAGCTGAAACATTAACTCTGATTTCTCTCCACAGATGCTGCTAGACCTGTTGAGTTTTCCCAGCAATTTCTGGTTTTGGATCTAGCTGAAGCCTTCTTTCTGCTTTTTTCCACTTTTCCCTCTAGAATAGAGCTCTGTAGCTTTTCAGCTCATCATAAAGCACAATTAATTATAGATATGCATAGTTTTGATTTTACTAACTATAATGAGAAAATCTTTCTTATTGCTATGTTTTCGAAGAAAGTTAGAAATTTACTTTCTCTCCCCATTTGGTGCTTTTTACTATACATTGTGTGACTCTCAGCAAAATCTGTTCCATTGAGGGAGAAAGGCTCTACCAGAAGGATGAACCATATGTGGCCAATTAGGAAAAGATGAAATCATACTGAAAGAAAAGGCATGCAATCCTGAGAAGATTGGATTGTAAGGTACCTCCATCAGATAAGCGATTTGCAGGAAAATGCTGGGCAGAGCAGATGACGTTGGCTGCCAGCTGAGAGTTGCCAGACATTCATCTTTCCGAACCGCATGATGTCATTAAGTCTTTTCCAGCCCCGAATCCAGATCCTCAACAGCATGCCTCTGCTGCTAACAGCCTTTGTAATTTCCAGCCCCACTTCTTGATGAGGCTGTTTGATCCTCCTCTCTCTCTTTAGTGCTATGGACAAGGCAAGGACACCTCCCTCCCACAAGGCATTGTAAGGAGATAGCCTAGCTCCCTAATTTTTATATTTATTTAAAGGCAAGTGTAAGGAGCTGTGTTCAAGATGTGATTCAAATGGTCCACCACTGGACTTTATTCTTATAATGCAGTTAAAATGCAAAAAAAAAAGAAGAATTGGCATAACTTTATTCAATTGTAATGCCTAATACGATCACATACAATTCAACCACTGACCACAAATTGTTCCAATATAGGCAGCATCCCCCCAAGCACATCCTTTGGCAAAAATGCAATTCAGCAAAACAGCTATGATTCTCACGCGCTGTCTCTCTCCAGTTCAGAAGAAAGAAACAATCTGCCCCTTTTGATTTTAAGTGGAAGCCTTGCTGTCTAAGATACTAGCAGCAGAGAACTCATGCTAATAGCCGAGCAGTCCGCAGAAACCCTCTCAATTAACTAAGCAAAACCAAAAGCCTTTCTGGGTCTGTGTGAGCCCTGACCCCACCTACCAGGATTCTTCTGTCTCATTAAAAAAAAAACTCAGGGAGGACTCAAAAGCTATTTACCAACTGCCTGTCTGAAGGAGACATTTTATCACTACTGTGGCAACACTCCTCTGCAAGGGAAACACGACACAACACATCTCTTAAAGACACAGTATCGTTACACAGGGAAAAGGCCCTCTCTCTGTCCTGAGTACATACAACATCAGGCTCACCTATTTACACCTATTTCCTCCCATCTGTAGTTCTTTATTTATTCCCAAAATAAATGTTATTTTGTGCCAGAGACCGCTTTATTAGCTCAGAGGGATTCCAAATGTGCAGAGTACTGAGAGGCATTGGTAATGTTCAATTTTATTTACACAAATAACTTTATTCATTAACACCCAGAGATTCTCTATTCTGCACAACGTATGTGGTCTGAACATTGCCTTGGAGTATGGTGGAGACAGCTTTAGTTGACGCATTTGAGAGGGCATTGGATGATTATTAAAATAGATACAACATGCACAGCTGCAGGGGGAAGGGCAGAGTTTGGCACTAAGTTAAAATGTTCAGAGAGCCGTACAGACACAATGGGCTGAATGGCCACTTTCTGCACCATGACAAATCTGATATTCTGTGGACTTGCACATCTCGTCTTTCAAGCATTTTGTCCCAGTAGGTATAAATTACCCTGAATGTGTTAACACTGAACCTTTAAAAAGCAGAGCCTTCAGCCCAAGTAGAAACACAGCTGTGACACTGGATGTGGATAAAGTCTTTAATTCACAAACTGCTGGATTTCTTATAAATCATCAATATTCATATGATCCATGCTTTAAGAACACAGAAGCAGCATTCATTGTGGTTATATTTAATAACCTAAATCATTTAAATGTTAATTTCCTCTCGCACCATACAGAAATACCTCCTTAAATTAAGAAACTTATGCATAATAGATAAAATCACATGAGTTGTGCAAACATTAATGCCAAGTGAAGAAAAGCTGTCAGTGGAAAGGATTTAAGTTTCAGTTTATAAGAGGTTGGACCCAAACATTTCAAGGTGCCATTGTATCATGTAAAGCTTTCCCAATTGATTAACAATAAACCCCGTGCCATGTTCAACCACAAAACATAAATTGCAGCATCTCCTTTTTCCAGGCAGACTTTGAACACAGCTAGTAACACAAGACTCAGCACCCATGAGGCTCTGTGGGCCATCAGCAGCAACAGAATCATACTCCAACTTACTCTGCAACCTCATGGCATGGCATATCCCTCGCTCAACCATTACCATTAAGCCAGGTGATCAACTGGGCTTCAGTCAAGTATGCAGGAGGGCAGACCAAGAGCGACACCTGGCATACCTAAAAATGAGCTATCAACCTGGTAAAGCCACCACACAGACTCGTGTGCCAGCACATAAGCAGCAAGTGATAGACAGAGTTGAGCGATCCCACAGCCAATGGATCAGAATAAAGCTCTGCAGTCCTGTCACATCCAGTCATGAATAGTGGTGGACAATTAAATAACTCACTGGAGGAGGAGGATCTGCAAATATCCCCATCCTCAATGACGGAGGAGGTCTGAACATCAGTGCAAAAGATAAAGCTGAAGCATTGGCAATAATCTTCAGCCAGAAGTGCCGGTGGTCCCCAGCATTACAGATACCAGTCTTCAGCCAATCCAATTCACTCCACGTGATATTGAGAAACAATTGGAGGTACTGGATACTGCAAAGGCTCTGACAACAATCTGATACTGGAAGACGTGTGCTCCAGAACTTGCTGCTCCCATAGCCAAGCTATTCCAGTCCAGCCTTAACACTAGCACCTATCTAAAAATGTGGAAAATTGCCCAGGTATGTCCTGTGCATACACAAAAAGCAGGAAAAACCCAACCCAGCCAATTACCGCCCCATCAATCTACTCTCGATCATCTGTAAAGCGATAGAAGCTATCATCAATAATGCTATCAAGCAGCATGTGGGCTGCAATAACCTGCTCAGTGATGCCCATTTTGAGTTCTGCCAGGGCCACCCAGGTCCTTTTTTTCTATTCATTTTGTGGGATGTGGGAATCGCTGGCTGGCCGGCATTTCTTGCCCATCCCTATTTGCCCTTGAGAAGCTGGGGGTGAGCTGCCTTCTTGAACCGCTGCAGTCCTCCTGCTGTGGGTCGACACACAATGCCATTAGGGAGGCAATTCCAGGATTTTGAACCAGCGACAGTGAAGTAATGGCGATATATTTCCAAGTCAGGATGGTGATTGACTTGGAGGGGAACTTAGAAGTGGTGGTGTGCCCATATATCTGCTGCCCTTGTCCTTTTAGATGGAAGAGGTCATGGGTTTGGAAGGTGCTGTTTGAGGATCTTTGGCGAATTTCTGCAGTGCATGTTGTAGATAGTACACACTGCTGCTACTGAGCATCTGTGATGGTGGAGGGAGCAGATGCTTATAGATGTAGTGCCAATCAAGCGAGCTGCTTTGTCCTGGATGGTGTCAAGCTTCTTGAGTGTTGTTGGGGCTGCACTCATCCATGCAAGTGGGGAGTATTCCATCACACTCCTGACTCGTGCCTTGTAGATGGTGAACAGGCTTTGAGGAATCAGGAGCTGAGTTACTCGCCACAAACAAAGGCTGACCTGATCAGCAAGCACTCATTTTGCCGAAACCAGGGATCGTACCAGGGACCTTAGATCTTCAGTCTAACGCTCTCCCAACTGAGCTATTTCAGCTGGCTGATCTCATTTCAGCCTTGGTTCAAACACAGAAAAAACAGCCGAGTTGTGAGTGACAGCCCTTGACACCAAAACTACATTTGACCAAGTATGGCAACAAGAAGCCCTAGCAAAACTGGAATCAATGGGGAAATCAATGGTCAGAGTCATACCTGACACATAGGAAGATGGTCATGGTTGTTAGAGGTCAGGACATCTCTTCAGGTGTTCTTCTGGATAGTGTCCAAGGCCCAATCATCTTCAGTTGCTTCATCAATGACTCTTGCTCCAACATAAGGTCAGAAGTAGAGGATGTTCCCTGATAATTTCACAATGTTCAGCACCATTTACAATCATCAGATAATGAAGCAGTCCTTGGTCCAAATACAACAATATCTGGACTATATCCAGGCTTGCGCTGAAACATGGCCATAATATCTATGCTATACAGATGACAGGCCATGTTTCTGATAAGACACAATCTAGCCACTATCCCCTGCTATTCAATGGCATTGCCATTAATGAATTACCACTATTAACTTGTGAGAGGTTGCCATTGACTAGGAACTGAACTGGACTAGCCATATAATTGTAGTGACTATAGGAGCAGTTAAAGGCTAGAAATTCTGCAGAGAATAACTCACCATCCTGACTTGGAAATGAAGCATTCCTTCATTCTTGACATCCCTTACCTCACCACCCTGGCACCCGAACTGCCCTCCCTACTCTGGACCTGACAATCTTTCCCTCACTGCAGTATACAATTCCCCTATGCCCCACTGTTAGACCTAAACCCCTGACACACTGTCAGACCTGAATACATACCTGCCGTGCTGCTGAACCCAATTCCCTTTTGGGCCCCTATACCATTCCCCCTTTATCCCACCCAGGATCCAAGACCACCCCCCAACCAGCGAACAATGTTGGACTCGATATCATCCACCATTCCCCAACCTTGCCCAAACACTTCATCAATTACCTGGACTATTTACCACATTATGTCCTGACACCCTGCATAGGCAGAGATGACCTCTGACATCTAGCCCCATACCTAACTGAGACCCCTACATCGCCAGCAACCCAGAATTACACTTACCTACTGTACTTATTTTTTTCACAACAGTTGTCAAAGCATGTGCCTGCGATGTTGGACCTTTAAATAGATTATAGCAACTGACTGCTGCAAATAAACAGACTGTGGTTTGTCTTCCTACGACTGCTCTCAGGGCTGAGGGACCTGTTAGATTGGAAATACAGCTCTGTATTTCTGAAGGAAGCTTTGTCAGAATCCCCTGTCAGAAATACAGGGATCTTTTGTTGCATGAAAAACGAGAGGAGTGGCAGGCTGCATTAGATTACCGAGACAACAAGGTGCAGGGCTGGATGAACACAGCAGGCCAAGCAGCATCATAGGAGCAGAGAGGCTGAC